TGAAGAAGAAGAGTTAGATGAAGGCGATGAGGATGAATTAGCGGATCTTCAGAAAGTTAGAAATTATTTTAACCTAAACGTGTATATTAAGTATTTTGTTAAAAAGTTTCCATCAGATTAAGGGCTTATAAGTTTTCTTCTGGCTTCTTTTAAAATTTAGTATACTATATTTAATTTTAAATAATGAAAAAAGAAAATATTTATTTAAAAAAAAAAAAAAAATTTAATGTTATTTTTGATTTTATATTATCAGAATTTAACAAATTAAAAAAATACATTTTTTTAATGATTTTTGTTTGTCCTGTTATTATTTATTACTAGAAGTCTTACAACTATCTATTACAGTTTATACTTTCTTGATACTGCAGCTTTTTGCTTATTTAATGATGTGTAACATCTCACAGTTTGACATTTTAAAACAAACTAAATTAAAATTATTTTTTTGCTTGATTCTTGATGGAATCTTAAACAAAAACAAAAAAAATATTAAAATCTTGGAGCTAAGACAAACAAATGTTTTGGTCATTTTTATATTTGTTTAATTAATTTTTTTTCATTTATGGTTCTTTGTAGTAATAGTTAAAATTAAGTATGCCAAACAATTTATATGTTCAATTTATATTTTTGTTGTTTAATACAAAGTTATGTTCAATCTATTTTTATTTTGGGATTCATTTAATAATTTCTTAATCCTATAATATATAAATAAGATATATTTATATATAATATAAATATATAATCTCTCTATCTCTCTCTCTCTCTCTCTCTCTCTCTCTCTCTCTCTCTCTCTCTATATATATATATATATATATATATATATATATATATATATATATATATATATATATATATATATATATATATCAGGCTTGGTCGGGAAGCGGGAGCAATCGCTCTCGATTGCTGACAACGGAAATAATATTTAGTTGCGGAAAGCTGGCCAGATTTTTTAGTCGTTTTGAGAACATTTCAAAAAGCAAAAAAAAAATGTGCAAAAGATTAATTGGACCGATGAAAGACAGTTACAAAAAAAAAAAAAAAAAAAGATAATAAAGATAATAAAATATCTTTTAACGTGAAAAAATTTAAAGCAAAGTAAATTACGTTCAGAACAAATATTTTCGAAACATCACTCTTTTATAATTTTTTAATAAAATTAAGCGACGTTTTTTATATAAAGTAACATCTTACGGTTGTTTAAAAAGGAAACAAATGTTCTTTATTTAACAAAGTTTGCAAGTTTTAGTTTTATCTAAGCTAAATTATTTTGTAAATAAAAAAGTTAATTTTTTTAATACTTATTTTATGTTTTGCGTAATTTAAAAAATTTAACATATTTGAAACAATTCTTCTTAGTAATATAAACAAATGAAGTAATTAAATCTTTGAATTACTATAGAAATTAAATTAACTAGATATAAAATCAACTTAAAAGGTTAAAAATACTTTATGATGAGGAAGCGAAACTGCTTCACAATATTGCTGATGATGTTTAGTGAGTGGGCTTTTTAATTTTAATTAGTATTTAAAGCAGAAAAAAGTATAACGATTTTTTTAAGAATGGCAACTTAAGCGAAAATAATTAGATTTAGTAAACCAATATCTAGAAACTTTTCTTTATATCTAATAACTTGCTATACATATTTGTGTTCTGTCTTGACCTCGGGCGCGGTGCTTGTTCATCCGCAAGTTACTTTGTATGCATTGTTGTGTTTAGTAACCAAAAACTTTTTATATGTTTGTTACATAACTAGTTTTATTAACTTTAATGATTATTAACTTCATTGAAAACGCAATTATTTTTGTAAGTCTCTGTTTACAAATTAAGTCTATAAAAAACAGATACACAAAATTACATTTACATAAAAAATACATACTTTTTAAATAAAAAATAAGTATATACAAATAAAATCTATAATTTATAATAAACTTTCAAAATTTTGACAATTTAACTAATATATATTTAAAACATTTATTTTTGTAAACATATAATAAGTTTTTGTTTTTTTTATTAAACATCTTCGCTTCCAACAAGGCTGCAAGCAACCGCTAATTAGTGTTGGAAGTTACTGTAAGAGAAAAGATTAAGATTGTAGTGCAAGAGAACATTTGGCAGACGACTTAAAAGATTGCAAGTTATATGAATCAGGCAGCCAAGATGAAGCAAGCAAATTCCAAAGAACCGATGTTCGAGGAAAAAAACTAGACGAATAAGAGTTTTTGGAGCACTTAGGAACAGTAACAGAAAAAGGATGAGACTTATTTGAGTGACGAGTAACATGAGAATGAATATAGTAGATGGCACAAGAGACGCTAGCTCTTTGGAGCAGTGCCCATAATAGTATTTGTAGAAAAGAGAAAGAGAAGCAACATTACGAAGATGTGACAAAGGTTGAAGGTTGGTTGCAAGAGCAGGTCCAACTATGTTTACAATGTCAGGCCTTGCAATAAAGCGTCGGGCGATGTGAATTTTACGTCGTCCAAGGGCGATTTTGCGTGTAGCTAGGGCTATTTGCGTCGAGCAAAAAATTTTTTGTTTGAGTATATTTAAAGATATTTTTGAGCGGAATTTTAATGAAGTAATTGACGATTATTTTAACATTTAATCAAGTATTTTAAAAACCGCATGCAGTTGAAATAAAAGTTTGAATTTAAAAAAATTAAATATGCTCATTATTTTCAAGTAGAAAAAATTCAAAAATTAAAAAAAAAAAGTTTAAATCTTTTAAGCTAACATTTTAATAAAATTATTCAGCAATAGCAACGTTGTCGATAAAATTGAACAAAAATACTTTCTTTTAGTTTTAGATTTTAAACTTAAATAATTATTTTACAGGGGTTTGATAGGTTTTAAAATTATTCCATAGATTTAAAAAATATTTATTAACTGTTAGACGTATTTAAAGTATTTAAGAGTGATTTCGAGGAAACATTTTAAAAATTGGTGAGGGCAAATAAAAAAAAAAAAAGATTAATATTAAAACGTATTCTACTTGATTCAATGAAAAAGTACAGTTATTAAAATTTTTGTAAAAAGAACTCAAAAAAATTACTTAAATAATAACGATCGCTTTTATGTTAAAAGTTACCGAAACTCATCGAAGCGTGCTCAAGAACAGCTGCTGAAAAATAGAACGTCAATAGTTTTTCGAATAATTTTTTAAGAATAATTTTTAAGAATAATTTTTTCTCTAAAATATTTCTTTTATACCTATAAGATTTTTATTCTAACATTTTATTTTATTTTACTAGAAATAAAATTCCTTGTTAACATTAAAAATCTATTCAAAACGTTCGTTTAAGTTTTTTATTAATACGAGTGATTGTGCTTATCAACCGCTTTATGAAAATAAATAAAAATAAATAAATAAATATTATATAAAATCTCTTGTAAAAATATTAGCTATTGCACAGTTTTTAATCGTACAATATTAAAATTTCCAGTTTATTACTCGCTGACTTTTTAAAAAGAAAAAATAATTATTTGAAAAACTTTAAATTACATATTTAAGAAAAAAAAAATCAAATATTAGCATATTTTATAATCTTTTTTAAATTTAAGTTATAATGTTTTTTATTCGTTTAGTATAGACAAAACGCGACAAACTCGAGAAAATAAACAAATGTTTTTACATTTTAAAAAACGAAACATTCCAAAACATTTTTAAATAATAACATTTCTACATAAACGATTTAAAGTAGTTTTGCGGTAATTAAATAAATTGGTGCAGTTAATGTCGATAAATATGAAAAGCAAATAAAAAGAATTTAATGACGTCAAAAATCACGTCGTGCTTATGCGTCGCGCAGCTCTTATTCATCGCAAGGCCTGCAATGTGTTTTTGCACCTTGTTTAAAAGAGAAAGAGCATCATTAGAAGATCCGCCTCAGATATGGCAACAGTATTCCATATAAGAATGGATTTGAAATTTATAGAGATAGAGAATAGAATCCAGAGTTGTCAAGATTGTCAAGTTGTCAAGATAGAATCCAGAGTTGATCTAGAGGATAGAATCCAAAGTGTCAAGCTCAATAAAGAGATGCAACTTTAGCAAAAATGAGTTTTATCTGAATTAAAGATCACCAGTCACTGTGAGCCCCATGCTGTAGCAATAGTGAGATCCTTTTCAAACTCAAATGTCCGCTGCAAGCAATCAGAGGGAATTGGCTTCTTATCGTGGCAAGAATAAATGGTAGTATCATCAGCGAACAATGCCACTTTAGATGTGAGAATATCTAGAAGATCATTAATGTAAATTAAAAAGAGTGTAGGGCCAAGGAATGAACCTTGAGGAACCCCTGAGGTTACAAAATAAGAAGAAGAGTGCTGTCCATCAAGGACAACATTTATACTACGATTGGAAAGGAAGGATTCAATAATCTTAAAGATGTTTCCAGATACACCGTAAGAAAAAAGCTTATGGAGAAGCCCAGCTTGCCAAACTTTATCAAATGCTTTAGAAATATCAAGAGTAATGGCCTTAACCTCTCTACCTTTATCTAATCGATTTTTTTATTATATATTACTGTTAGCAAATCAGCCGTAGAATGAGAAGATTGAAATTTCTATTGATGATCAGGAAGAAAGAAATCAGAAAAATAAAAAAGTTATTAGATTCAAGATAAGAGATTAAGTGTTTGTTAAGTAAAGATTCAAAAACCTTGCTTATGATAGAAAGAAGACTAATGACAGTAGTTAGAGGAATTAGTTTATAAGATTTACGGCTTTGCAGATGTAGCTCCAAGAGTGAGCCATAGAATTGATAATATATTCTTAAAACAATTTATGGTAGAAATCTCAAAATGTAATAAATCGTGAATAATACAATTACTAAAACATTTCAACAGAATACTCTAAAACTTTATTTTGCTTAGTCAGCATGTTTTTTAAACCAATAGAATTAGTTTGTTCATTAATTTGGCCGGTTTTTAGAGTTCACGAATATTCTTTTTATTCTTCCGCACCAAGATGTTTTTAGAACATTCAAGTTTTTGATGTTTCCATGTATGTCCGTAAAACAAAATTTTTTTGTTTTGTCCATAAACTTAAATGTT